GATGTAACTGGGATAGACAGGAGTATAGATGTATTTGTTACATATGCTGGTTTGCTTGTAATTCAAAAGTTAGCTTATTTGACTTCAAAGGGCAGGATGATTTTAGAGTTGAGTTTTTAAAAACTAAAATAAGTGGCTGATATAGTCTGATAAATATTATAAATGTCTTTGCTATAAATGCTTTATTTTCATACTGAGAACTGAACCTTGAAACTATTTTTGTTATTCACATATTTATGGGTGAATTGTCTATGAAGATGTGAGGGTACTTTAAAAGGTGGTGGAAAAATAGAATAAAAAATAATACAAATCTTTCCATGCACTTTTTGAAGTACCCTCATAGATTGTTCTGATTTAGCAACCAAAGGAATTTTTCTAAAATTTCATCCCTTTCATAAAATCCTTCAATTGCTCACTGATACTTAGAAGATGAAATCAAAACTGCTTAGTGAAACATAAAAAGCCTTTAAGTAGCTAAATGTCTTGCCACTGACTGTCTATCTTTCTAGCCTTGTTTCCTACCATTTTCTACTCAGAGTAACTTTCACCGTGACCCAAATGCACTTCAGTATTCTAACTTCCATGCTTTTGCATGAGTGCTTCCTTCTGCCTTTCCTTCTTGCTCTCCTTCTTGTGATTCATTCTTCAAGATCCCACTGAAATGTATTTCCTCTGTGAAACCTCTGATGCCCAGGGAAGTTAGGTGTTCTCTGTTCTCCCATATACTCTTCTTACATACTTCTAACATAGCACACATAACACATATAGCATATTATATTAAAACTGTCTGTACATATGTGCCTCCCTTTTGAAGGATATGAACTCTTTGAGTACAAGAACTATACCTATTCATCTCGGGCTACCCAGAGCCTAGCTCAGTTTTGGACTAGCTATTCTTTCCATTCCCAATAACAAGACTATTAATGGAATGAGTCTATCTGCTTTATATTTAGGTAAAAGTGGGGCACAATTCCAGTTCCTTGCATGGGAAGGCAAATAAAATATTGATCATCTTAGTATGGTGACGTGAAAAACAGTTTTAAAGTAGTCCACTAAGATATTAAAACTCCAAATATCATGTTCATCAGTTTCTGGTGGAAGTGTGCATTTTCTATCAGAGCAAATTCTGGCATATAGTTCTTATAAATGAGATAATGTTGGCCTAGATCCTAAGTGACATGTGAAAGGTACATTTTGTCAGCTTCAGTTTAGGAAAGTTGGGCTAAACTCAATTGGACTCAAGGTCCATTTCTGAAAGGGCTCAGGAAACCCCTTATCAACTAGAGTAGTTGACATTAAAAGCACAAATCAAATACATGGCAAAGAATTTCTGTGACGAGAACTGCTCAAAGTTCTCTGTGACAAGTGAATCCTGATTGTTGCCAGTTTATTTGCTTGCCTTCATTAACTCTGTTGGTGTGATCGAGCCTGGAGAGGCACAGGGTTAGTCCAACCCTCTCTCAAAAGGACAGCTTAGATCTAGACTCAGCCATTGAAAACCATCGACTCTTAGAAAATATGCCATTTTTGTCCTTGTAAACTGATTTTCAGGCAAATGTTTAATATACGATTAGACAGGACTAATTGTTCGCCTTGGTTATTGTCTTTGCAGATTTGTTGTTCTTTTCTTTAACTCTGAATCTGGTTTGGTACTGGTTATGGACTAAGGTGTTTGTGTCCCATGTTTGCTGCTAGTTACCAATACATAAAATTTGCACTTGACTGCCACCATGAACATTAGAGTTTGGAAGAATTGTCCTCTGAAATTCAGATAGTGCCTTCAAGTTGGATAAAACCAGGGAAACTGTAGACCCCTTGACTAATTTGTATTTTAATGGCTAGGTAATACCTTTGGACCACCTCGATGCATCTCTCCCTACTATTGAGAATAATTTCCTATGTGCTGATGATATGGTTCAATTGCCATATGCCAGGAGTTGTCATAAGAGATGCTTGATTCTAATTATCTGTTGAGATTTTCCTGCACATTTTGTAAATGATTGGTACTACCTAACAAGAAATGTTTCAGGCTTATCATTGCAGAAAATATATTGGGTTTTCAATGGCTTGTTTACTGATGTTTTAGAGCAGAATGCAGAATTGTTTCCTGAGAAATGTTCCAGCTTATTTCCTCTACATGTCTCGGTGCTTAGGTGAGATATCCAGGTGTTATGTTCATAATACTCTAGTTACATCCTTTAACTTTTATGAAAAAGTTTTAATAAGTCTATGTTCTGCCCAGCTAATTGTCAAATAGGTAGATTTGTTCACACTCCAGATTCTTTCCAGAAAATTGATATTTCAAAATAAAAAGTTCATCCATTGTTCTACATCTATTTTATTCTGACAATCAAGTACTATGTGCTTGAACCATAAGGCTTTGCTCATCATAGAATTGTTTTAGTGCCTTTTGGAATTATGCCATTGATATTCAAAAAGGGATATTATAAAAATAACTGTTTTAACTTCTCTCTCTCTTCCATTGTTATAGGTAGGGATATTATCCGTGGCAGTGTCTAATTTCTTATGGATCCAAGATTATCCTTTGGTTTCAAAATCAGCAACGTGATGTCTTAATGTTATGGTCCCTGGATCCTAACCCTGTAGGAAACTTAAAACCAAATTTGCTGTCCGTCTCTAGCAGTGGAACAGAGTGGTGTAGTATGTATTTTATTTATTAATTTTACCTTGGCTTTATTCTTTCTCTACAGTTATATTTCCTTTACCCCACTTTCCTCAAATATTTATTTTATATTTTTATTTTATGTATATTTTTGTAAGCTAGATGAATTTCT